TGTTCCTGGTGCATGTTGTCTCTCCTCCTTTATAGTCCTCTTCCACCAATCCCAACTCTGCTACCCACACGCCGAGTACGCTGCTCTCCTCCAATCAGGAGCAGCTCCTGCAGCTTGTCAAGTTGGTGAAAGGCAGCTGGGTAGAAGCTGTTTGCTCCTCTCCCAGCGCCATATTGTGGGAGAGCAGATGCATAGAATAAGTCTTAATTCCAGTAACTTAGTCTAGTCCGAGTTGCTCCCAGTTGCTCCCCACAAGGTGAAGTAAGTGATCCTGGCCCCAGAACCAGCAGGTGCCGAGTCTGGGTTTGGACCCTGGACGGCGGTCACATTGCTCCTGCCGCAGCTAGGTCTGGGACATCAGGGCGGGCGGGGGGCGGGAGGGCTGGCCCACGTGACCCTGTGATAGCTGACTCACCCCAGGCTCATACGTGCTCCCCCTCGCACAGCCGGCCTCCATGTTCCCCTGCAGGGTGTCTCCAGTGGCCTGGCTTAGATGGTGCGAGGCGTCGGACTCACACACGGGATTGCACAGGGAGGGGGAAATGGGCAGAAAATTAGATAGGAACAAACAGGTGAGCTAGATTTTTCACCATTTCTGTGCACCCTGTGCTGTATTTCCACCATTGCCTGTCAATCCAGTATGCCCACTTTCCCATGATGCACCTGTGTCTCCTGGGACCAGGAAGGAGGAGCCATGAAACTCCCAAAAACCCTGCCCAAACTCCATGAGGTTTGTATGTTCAATTAGGGGCCCACCCCTCACCCCATAAAAGTGACTGTCACACGGGGGAGTGGCCCTTGTTGGCCCTTCCTCTGGCCCACTCGTGACGGTCTCTGTCCATGTGAGGTGGCCTGCTCTGATAGATAAATCCTGTGCCACTTGGGCACTGTGTCTATGCCTCTGCGTTGAATTCTTGTCTGTGGGGGCAAGAACTTGGAATACAGAAGCCCACGACGCAGGGACGCCCCAGCAGAGGGCGACGCTAGCACTCCAAGCACACGGTAGGTACAGCTGTCGGGACGCCTGCATCCCCTGTTGGAGTGTGTGGGTTCGAGTCCCAGCTCCATGTCCAGCCCCAGCGTCCTGATGCACAGCCAGGTGCTTGGGTCCCTGCCTCCTATGTGGGGAGCTGGGTTGAGTTCCAGGCTCCTGGCTTTGGCCTGGTCCAGTCCTGGCTGTGGGAGGCATTTGGGAAGTGAACCAGTTAGTGGATGGATGATCTCTTTCAAGTACATAAAAATACGGTTTTGAAAAAGAGCAGTCAGCCCTGCAGGGCGGTAAAGCTCACAAGATGCTAGTCCCCCTCCTTTCGGTGAGACCCTCAGTGCAGGAACCAAGCTCAACCTCCCCAGACTCTTTGCAAAACAGATAAGCTGCGCGGGGCAGCTTGTGAAAAAGGTAACGGGAAAGTTCCCGGAGGCTTCTAAAAGACCCCTGCTCCCTGCGTCCCGCCAGCTGCAAGCCCCTGCCTGCCACCGGCTGTAGAGTCCCTCTTCAGTCAGATAAAAGCCCAGCCCTACCCGTGCCCTGGGCACGGTCTCTTCGAAGACTGTTGCCCCGCGTTGCTTCAGTAAAGCAACCTGTCTCTGTTGAGGTTCGTCTCCATCTCCTGTTTTCTGTCTCTTCTGGGGGTATGGAAGGCCAGAACCCCGAGCTATTCCAAATCTAACAAGCCCTCCTGGCTTTATTCCCAGGCTATACCCAAATCCAACTGCATCCTATCCCCCCACTTAGCTTTGGGGTGAGCCCTGCTCTGTGGCCTGGCAGCCTCCACCCTGCCTGCCTGTGTTCAGCTCTCCACCCGGGAGCCAGCGGGAGTGCTCGAAGGCTGGGTTCTGGTGGTCTCCTCACTTTTTTAAAAAAATATTTTTATTGATTTATTTGAGAGGTAGAATTAGAGACTGAGAGAAAGGTCTTCCATCCGCTTGTTCTCTTCCCAAATGGTCGCAATGACTGGAACTGAGCCGATCCGAAGCCAGGAGCCAGGAGCTTCTGGGCCTCCCACATGGGTTAAGGGGCCCAAGCACTTGGGTCATCTTCCAGCTGCTTTCCCAGGCCATTAGTGGAGAGCTGGATCAGAAGAGGAACAGCCGGGTCTCGAACCAGTGCCCATAGGGGATGTTGGCTCTGCAGGCAAAAGCTTAATTTACTTTGCTATAGCGCTGGCCCCTTCCTCACTTTAAAAACTCTCACCTGGGGCCATTGTGGTGTAGCGCTTAAAGCCACCACCTGACAGGGCCAGTGCTGTGGCACAGCGGGTTAATGCCCTGGCCTGAAGCGCTGGCATCCCATATAGGTGTCAGTTCGAGACCGGGCTGCTCCACTTCCGATCCAGCTCTCTGCTATGGCCTGGGAAAGCAGAAGATGGCCCACGTGCTTGGGTCCCTGCACCCACGTGGGAGACCTGGAGGAAGCTCCTGGCTCCTGGCTTCAGATCAGCGCAGCTCCAGCTGTTGCAGCCAATGGAGGAGTGAACCAGCAGATGGAAGACCTCTCTCTCTGCCTCGCCTCTCTATGTAACTCTGACTTTCAAATAAATAAAAAAAAATTTTTTTTTTGACAGGCAGAGTGGACAGTGAGAGAGACAGAGAGAAAGGTCTTCCTTTGCCATTGGTTCACCCTCCAATCGGCCGGTGCGCTGCAGCCAGCGCACCACGGCCAGCGCACCGCGCTGATCCGATGGCAGGAGCCAGGTACTTCTCCTGGTCTCCCATGGGGTGCAGGGCCCAAGCACCTCGGCCATCCTCCACTGCACTCCTGGCCACAGCAGAGAGCTGGCCTGGAAGAGGGGCAACTGGGACAGAATCCGGCTCCCCGACCGGGACTAGAACCCGGTATGCCGGCGCCGCAAGGCTGAGGATTAGCCTAGTGAGCCACGGTGCCGGCTCAAATAAAAAAAGCCACCACCTGTGACCCCAACATCCCATATGGACACCAGTTCATGCCCCAGCTGCCCCACTTCCAGTCCACCTTGCTAGCGTGCCTTGCAGAGAAAGATGACCTAAGTGCTTGGGCCCCACCTGGATGAATCTCCTGGCTCCTGGCCTTGGCCTGGCCCAGCCATCTGGGGAGTGACCCAGCAGAGGGAAATTCTCTGTTCCTCTCTCCGTAACTCTGACTCAAATAAATAAATAAATCTTAAAAAAAAAAAAAAACAAACCAACCCGCTCGTGTCTGTCTGCCCCAACACACAGCGTCTTAGCAGCCACCGTGCCTGTGCTTCTGCTAGAAGTGCTTGGTTCCTGTGCTGCTGCTGGCTCCTCACTCAGGTCACTGCAGTGTCACCTCCTCCAGGAGACCCCCCTCCCCGTACCCCTGCACCAGCAGCCCCACCCTGTCCCCTCCTGGGCTCCCTGGGGTTCGTCTGTGCCCAGCTGAGGTGGTCCCTCTCCGTCCCTACCACACTGGGCTCTACGTCCTTGGAGGGCAGGGACTGGTTGTCGTGGGCCTGGCTCATGCCACTGGCCTGGACATTGCCCGATGAGCAGCGGGCGTTACACTGCGTTGTCCAAGTGGCTCCTGGTGAGGCCTCCTGCAGGGCCGGCTGGCACCCTTCTCCTTCTCATCGGGAGCTCCCGCCCAGGGACACACACATTCCACCCCGAGCAACGCCGAGCAACAGGGCGACAAAGTGGGTCTTCCCTCTTCCGCCATCTTCCAATTTTTTTGTGTCAAAAAAATTGATGCCTTATCACTCCTCCACATTGAGTAATTTCCGCTTTTATTACATATTTACTTATTTATTTGAAAGGCAGAGGAACATAGGGAGTAAGATCTTCTATCTCCCGGTTCGCTCTCCCAGTGCCTACAACGGCCAGAGCTGGGCCAGGCTGAAACCAGGAGCCTGGAACTCCATGTGGGCCTCCCGCGTTCGTGGAGGGGCCCAAGCTTTCCCAGGCGCATTAGCAAGCAGCCAGGTCCCAAGTGGAGCAGCCGGGACGAGAACCATCACCCAGACGGGATGCCAGCATCCCAGGCGGTGGCTTGACCCGCTGGGCCACACAGCAGGTCCCCAAACATGGATTCAGCAAACCTGGTGCCCACCTCCCTCCACCTGGGGGCCCAGCACCCTCTCCTAGTGTGCCCCTGAGCCGTGGTCAGTCTAACCTGCTCTCGGTCCAGAGGGTGACGTGCATAAACACCCCAGGCAGCCTGCCCGGCTCCCTGCCTGCGGTGGGCGCAGGGCGCAGTGGGTGCAGCCGCACCACTTAGGACGCCCCCAGCCCCTGTCCGAGGGTCGGTGCAGGTCCCGGCTATCGCAGTTCCTGTGCTGTGCACCTCTGCAAGGCAGCCATGGCCCGGGCACTTGTGAGAGCCAGAGGGAGCTCCAGCCCGGCCCAGCCGGGTGCTGCAGGGGGGAGAAGACCTGTGTCGCTTTCAAATCAAATCTTAGAAACAAAAGTCCGCTGGAGGTTCTGCACAGTATCAGGCGGGGTGACCCGGCGGAGTTACCTCACCCCCCTCCCGTTACCGGGACTGTGCGGGTGAGGCACGGCCAAGCGCGCATCCGACGCCGCACCCTGGCCGGACGCCGGCTCCAGCTCCCCAGCCCCGCGCCCGACCGCGGCCCAGGCCTGCGGGGCGCCGGGGCCCGGTACCGCGCGGCGTGCGGGAGCGGCCTCACGGCACGGGTACGGACACGGGGCGAGCCGGCCGGCGGCAGCACGCAGCGCCCGCACGGCCTCCAGCTCCCGGCCCCGGCCCCACTGGCGGAAGGAGCCCCGGAGACCGGTGACCAAGGGTGAGGCCTGCGCCGGGCCCAGTCCCAGGCAGGTGGGCCGGGGAGTGCAACGCCGAAGCGGGCGGACCCGCGCCCCAGCCGGCGAGGGCGGAAGTAACGGCCGGCAGAGACCCAACTCCCGGCGTTCCGCAGGCAGCCGAAGCCGGAAACGCAGGGCGGGAGGCCGGTAGGCCCGGCGGCGCGGCGCGGCCGAGGGGCGGGGCCCGGCTTTCCCAGGGCAGCTGATTGGTCGGCCTCCGGCGGCGGCGGCGGCGACAGCGGCGGCGCGCGCAGCTCCCCTCGCGTTGCGGTGAGTCTAGGGTTCGAGCCCGTACCCCGCCGGCTCCGCGGGTTGTGCCTCGGCGCTGTATCTGGGTCTCCCGGGGCGTCCCCTGGAGGGGCAGAGCCTGGCCGGGGCCACGCCTGGGCGCCTTCCATTCTCAGCCGGCTGACTAGGACCCCTGAGGGTCTCGCTGTGGGGGAGGGGCGGGCCTGCGAGTCCCTGGAGACGGGCATTGCGGGGCGCCTTGGGGTGGGGTAAGGGGTGCGGAGCTGGGGTGCGGAGCTGGGGTGCGGGCGGAGGCCGAGGAGGCGGTGGAGGGGCGGAACCCCGCGCGTGAGGGACCCGGTGGTCTCTGGCCCACGCCGACGTGAAGCCGGATGAGGTGTGGGACAGTCGGCCTTGGGAAACAGGGAATAAAGTTGGAAAAACCCCTCGCTATGGGAAACAGGGAATAAAGTTGGGAAAACCCCTCGCTATGGGAAACAGGGAATAAAGTTGGAAAAACCCCTCGCTATGGGAATATTCAGACAAGGGGCGACCACCGCATCGCGTTTAGGTGCTTTGGGGGGGGGCGTGGTTGCCGGGAGCGCATCTCGGGGGTCTCCACGGCCATCCCGCCCGGCCCTGTAAATGCTCCTAGGACCCGGGTCAGATGCCCAGACCCTGGCTGAATCGTTATCTGGAAGGTAGCGTGGCGGGGCACGCGTGTCTTCCACGCGCCGGCTCACTGCCCGGAGTGCCCGGGCCATGCTGCGGCCGCAGCCCGGACTCCAGCCCGGGCCCCCGCGGGGACGGCAGGGCCCAGCGCCTGGCCACGGTCTGCTGCTGTGCCGCCCAGGGCGGGGAGCGGGGGCTCCCTGTAGCGGCCCCTCGGGGGGGGGGGACGCTGGCTTTGACCCCTGCCCCGCTGCAGCTCTTCAGGGACGGTCCGGGAAGGGCGCGGCGGAGGCCGGTGCTGAGGGCAGTGAGACCACCCGGCCGAGGTAGGGGTGGGGGCGCGCTGCCAGGAAGCCGTGGGTGCAGGAGGGCGGTGGGAGCTCACTGCTGCTGCCCTGCGGAGGGGGCTAGGGAGAGCCTTCCCGGGGGGGATTCTGCTGGGGGCTTCTCATTGCCGGGGCCCAGGTGGCCCCCACAGCGTACAGAGGTTCAGCCTCGGAAGCCGGAGAGTCCTGGAGGTTGGCTGTGCTTGACATGGGCTGAACTGTGCACGCAAACGTGGTTCAGACGGCAGATTTCACGTGAGGCCTAGCTCACCGCGATTGTGCATTGTCTTCTTACTCAGAAGGCAGAGAGACGGAGACAGATGTCTTCCAGCTGCTGGTTCACTCTCCAAATGACCCGCACCGCTGCGGCTGTGCCGGGCTGGAGCCAGGAGGCCCAGAACTCAGTCTGGGTCTCCCGTGTGGGTGGCAGGGACCCAAGGACTTGGCCGTCACCCGCTGCCTCCTGGGCGCGTTAGCAGGGAGCTGGATTGGAAGTGGAGGTGAGACTCAAACCGGGCACTCTCTGTGGGAGGTGTGTGTCTTAGCTGCTGAGTCAGCACCCACCCCACTCAGTTTTGTAAACAGTCCCTTTCAAAAAATAGTGATGTTTCAAATTAAGAAATACATGTGACTTCAGATGTGCAGTGGAAGGTGGCCCTTGGCCCAGCAGAGGCCTGCATTAACGTTTCATTGCCCTAAAACATCCGAGAAGAGCAGCGTAGGCGGGAATTGGCTCATTTCTAGTGTGGCGCTTCCCCGTGCAGGACGGAGTGGCCCTTGGTTAAGGCATCTGGAGAGGCCGGGGCGTGGTGGAGGGACCGTTACACGGTGAGCCAGGACGCACAGCTGTGTAGGGAGCACGTCTCCTTACAGAGCCGACCCGCTGGGTCAGGAGGCCATGCCGCGGACAGCCGTGCTGAGGCACTCACCAAGGCCCCGCCTTCACACCCATCAGCCATTAGCATTGATCTAGAGACCTGCTGTGGGACTTGGAGAGTCACACGTCTGCGCGATGCATCCCAGCACCGGTGACTTTTTTTTTTCTTTCTAATACTGAGGCTCTGGAATGAACCTGTGGATCTGAAACCGCGTGTCGGAGCCTGGCCTGTGCCCTCTGCTCTATGTGGGCACTGAAGGGCTTGGCCAGCCCTGCCGTGTGATGATTTCTCCCCAACGCCCCTGCCTTCCCGGATCTGAGGCACCCCTGAGGCTGCCCCTGGATACCTCACACTGTTCCCTCGGGGGTGGCTGAGGTGTGAATCCACCTGTCCACCCGCATCCTTCTTTTTTTTTTTTTTTTTTTTTTTTTAAAGATTTATTTATTTGAAAGAGACACACCGAGGGGGTGAGAGAGAGAGATCTTCCATCCGCTGGTTCACTCCCCAAATGGACGCAACAGTCAGAGCTGGGCTGATCCGATGCCAGGAGCATCTTCTGGGTCTCCCATGGTGGGGGGGTGGGCAGGCACTTGGACCATCTTCCACTGCTTTCCCAGGCCATCAGCAGTGATCTGGATCAGAAGTGGAGCAGCTGGGACTTGAACCGGGGCCCATCTGGGATGCTGGCACTGCAGGCAGAGGCGTAACCTACTACACCATGGCGCTGGCCCTGCCTGCTTTGTTTAAGGCCCACCTGATACTCTGCCTCCAACATGCCAGCTACTCCCCGTCTCCCTAGCGCACCATGGGTGAGACCGCACACTCCCGGAGCAGTGGGCCCTGCCTGTTGGGCAGGCGCTCCCTGCCAAGCTCCTTCCCAGGGGAGCCCCACCATAGGTCGCCCTGAAGTTTTCCTTCTCCTCATCCAAAACCAAAACAAAACCCTAAAGTGAGACCAACTACCAGGTCTGGGCTTTGTGTTCCCCTCGTCTTCCTCTGGGGGGCCCCAGAACCAGCTTTTGTCCTGGAACTCATTTTTTTAAATCTGAACTGCCGTTTACTCGAGAATTGAACAGCTGAGTGGGTAGCTTTGGTGGTGGGGCTGGTGGTTAGGACCCCTGCGTCCCCCACCCCAGTGCTTGGCGGTCGGATCCCGGGGGCTGATACCCACCTCAGCCTCCTGCTGGTGCACACCGGGAGGCCGCGGTGGTAACTCAGGGAGTTGAGTCCCTGCCACCCACATGGGCATCCTGAATGGAGTCCCTCAGTCCAGCCCCAGCCTGGGCTTCACCCCTGGCCATTCTGGGCACTGGGGGAGCGAACCAGTGGGTAGGAGCTCTCTTGTCAGTCTCACTCTGCTTTTCAAATAACAAGCAAAATTGAACACTGATTTAGGGGCCAACGCTGTGGTGTGGAGGGTAAAGCTGCCACTTGCAGTGCTGGCATCCCATGTGGGCGTCGGTTCAAGTCCCGGCTGCTCCACTTCTGATCCAGCTCTCTGCTGTGGCCTGGGAAAGCAGTGGAAGATGGCCCAAGTCCTTGGGCCCCTGTACTCATGTGGGAGACCCAGAGAAGCTCCTGGCTCCTGGCTTCAGATCACAGCTCCGTCTATCGTGGCCAATTAGGTAGTGAACCAGCGGATGGAAGACCGACCTCTCTGTGCAACTCTGACTTTCAAATAAATAAATAAATCTTTAAAAAAAAAAAAAGCTAATTGGTGGGGCCCGGCGCCTTGGCTCACTTGGTTAATCCTCCGCCTGCGGCACCGGCATCCCATATGGGCACCGGGTTCTAGTCCCAGTTGCTCCTCTTCCAGTCCAGCTCTCTGCTGTGGCCTGGGAGTGCAGTGGAGGATGGCCCAGGTGCTTGGGCCCCTGCACCCGCATGGGAGACCAGGAGGAAGCACCTGGCTCCTGGCTTCGGATTGGTGCAGCGCCAACCGTAGCGGCCATTTAGGGGGTGAACCAACGGAAGGAAGACCTTTCTCTCTCTGTCTCTCTCTCTCTGTAACTCTACCTGTCAAATAAATAAATAAATAATCTTTTTAAAAAAAGCTAATTGGGTGAAATTTGCGTCAGAGTTGTATTAGTTGTGTGTGTGTATATATATATATATATTTTTTTTTTTTTTACAAGATTTATTTCTTTGAAAGGCAAAGTGAGAGAGAATCTCTTCCATTTGCTGGGTCACTCCCCGAATGGCAGCAGTGGCTGAGGCTGGGCCAGGCTGAAGCCAGGAGCCTGGAACTCCATCCAGGTCTCGGGCCATCTTTCATTGCTTTCCCAGGTCATTAGCAAGAAGCTGGATCAGAAGTGGGGTAGCCAGGACTCGAACTGGTGCCCATTTGGTATGCTGGTGTTGTAGGCTGCGGCTTAACTTGCTGTGCCATGGCACCAGCCCTGTGTTAGTTATTTAGTGATGACTATTTAAAAAAAAAAAAAAATTGTTTGAAAGGCAGAGTTACAGAGAGAGGGAGAGGGAGAGGAAGAGAGATCTGTCTGGTGGTTCACAACCCAAATGGCTGCAACAGCCAGGGTGGGAGCCAGGAGTTCCATCCGGGTCTCCCACATGGGTGCAGGGGCCCAAGCACTTGGCTGTCTTCAGTGCTTTCCCAGGCACACTGGCTGGGAGCCAGCTCCGAAGTGGAGTAGCCAGCTCTTGAACCAGTGCCCGTATGGATGCCGGCGTCACAGAGGGTGGCTCACCCACTACGCTGCAACGCTGGCCCCAGCGATGGCTGTTTTGGAACCACTCAGGACACAGTGGGATGCCGGACCACATCCCTGGGTGTCAGTTTGGGGAGGAATTAATGATGGGGCTCATGGTGATGAGTGACAAAATGATGGGGATGAATTTACTTGGTGATTGATCTTTATACCGTTAGAGCTATCAGAATGGTCATTATTGAAACGCTGGCAGGAAGTAACATTGTTGGTGCTAATATGGAACTCATGTACCCTTTAACTTCCTTTTTTCCCCATGGAAACAATTGTGCTTTTGGATTAAGTGGGGTTTAGAGGCATGTAGCCCTCTGTGGCGTCAGCTGCCACTGCCCTGGGGCTGCCGTGACTGAACCGTGTCCCCATCTCCCCCTTTGTAGGAAGGATGGAGGAGCTGAGTCAGGCCCTGGCTAGCAGCTTTTCTGTGTCTCAGGACCTGAACAGCACAGCTGCCCCGCACCCGCGCCTGTGCCAGTACAAGTCCAAGTACAGTTCCCTGGAGCAGAGTGAGCGGCGCCGGCGGTTACTGGAGCTGCAGAAATCGTAAGGACACGCTAACTCTGGCTGCTTTCCCCGGGCTGGGGGCTGGGAGCCCTTCCGGAGGCCCCCTGCTCATCCCCACAGAGCCCCCTTCCCGGTAGACCCCTTGTAGGTTGAACTGCCTGCCCACAGGGCGGGAGGTGAGTGTGCTTTCTGCCCCGAGCGTGGGGAGAGGCTGACTTTGGGAGGCGCACGCTCCTGGCCGGGGTTAGGTTTTTCTGCTTTTCCCGGCAGCATTCCGGAGCTCTGCAGTTCAGGGACTTGTGGAGGCCACGCCCAGGCTTCCACTCCCCCATTCCCTGGGCCGCGTGTGTGGCTTCTCCTACACCCGGAATCCTGGTGGCGGTGTGGTCTTCCCGGCGGCCTCCAGCCCAGATGCTTCTGTGGCACCCTCGGGAGTTGAAGACAAACAATTGCACAGGGAGTCTGAGGAAATGTCTTCCATACGCTCGGCGGCTCTGAGTGCCCGGATGAGGGGGAGAGAGCGGGTGGGAGTGGTGGAGCCTCTGCTGCTCTGAAGGCGGGGCCGGCCTTTCTTCTCTGGAGATTATTTATTTGAAAGGCAGAGTACAGAGAGGGGAAGGTCTTTCATCCTCTGGGTCACTCCCCAAAGGGCCCCAGTGGCCGGAACTGGGCTGGCCCAAAGCCAGGAGCCAGGAGCTTCTTCCAGGTCTCCCATGTAGGTGCAGGGGCTCAAGCACTTGGGCCATCCTCTGCTGCTTTCCCAGGCGCATTAGCAGGGAGCTGGGTTGGAAATGGAGTGGCCAGGGCTTGAACTGGCACCCATATGGGATGCCAGTGCCGCAGCAGCGGCTTTGCCACAGCTACGCCGCAGCGCCGGCTGCAGGGCTTGTCTTTAGTCTCGGTGCAGCAGCAGCACCAGCTGGGCCACAGATGAAGGAGTCGCGGGTCAGGGGAGACTCAGAAGCTGCTCAGTTTCCATGCTGGCTGCATATTTGTATTTTTTAAAGATGTATTTAATTTGAGAGGTGGAGTTACAGACAGAGTAAGAGAGAAAGGTCTTCCTTATATTGGTTCACTCCCCACTGGCTGCGATGGCTGGAGCTGGGCCAGGAGCCAGGAGCCAGGAGCCAGGAGCTTCTTCTGAGTCTCCCACACGAGTGCAGGAGCCCACAGACTTGGACCATCATCTGCTGCTTTCCCAGGCCATTAGCAGAGAGCTGGATCAGAAGTGGAGCAGCCGGGCCTCAAACCAGCACCCATGTGGGATCCCAACGCTGCAGATGGAGGCTTAACCTACTATACCACTGCACAGGCCCCATTTTTATTTTTTAAAAAGTTTTATTTATTTATTTCAAAGGCAGTGTTACAGAGAGAGAGAGGGAGGGAGAGACAGAGAGAGCTCTTCCATCTACTGGTTCACTCCCCAAATGGCCACAACGGCCAGGCCAAAGTTAGGAGCTTGGAGCCCCATCTTGGTCTCCCACATGGATGACGGTGGCCCACCCTCATTGGCCATCTTCCACTGCCTTTACAGGCGCATCAGCAGGGAGCTGGATTGGAAGTGGAGCAGCCGGGACTCAAACTGGTGCCCATATGGGAGGCCAGTGTCACAAGCAGCCGCTTAACCCTCTGAGCCATAACCCGGTCCCCAGACCTTTTCCTTTTCTACACAAGTAGCAATGTAGTGTTCTCTGTTCTGCATGTGTTTTTTTGTTTGTTTGTTTGTTTGTTTGTTTTTTATTTATTTATTTTTTTTGACAGGCAGAGTTAGTGAGAGAGAGAGAGAGAGACAGAGAGAAAGTTCTTTCTTCCATTGGTTCACCCCCCCAAATGGCCGCTATGGCCGGTGCGCTGAGCTGATCCGAAGCCAGGAGCCAGGTGCTTCTCCTGGTCTCCCATGGGGTGCAGGGCCCAAGCACTTGGGCCATCCTCCACTGTACTCCCGGGCCACAGCAGAGAGCTGGCCTGGAAGAGGGGCAACCAGACAGAATCCAGCGCCCCGACCAGGACTAGAACCCGGTGTGCCGGTGCTGCAGGCGGAGGATTAGCCTAGTGAGCCGCGGCGACGGCCATCATGTGTCTTTTATGGTGGTCTTTTTGCGAGTTGCTGTGAGTTCACAGAGGGTCAGGTCATTTTTGCGTGGTGCCAGGCATTCCCCTGGGTGATCAGTCATGGTGTAAGCTAACCAGTCCCCGCCCCTGGGCAGCTGGGGTGGCCCCCTCCTGTGATGGTCAGCAGCGCATGGAAGCAAGCACAGCCACGCAGCCTCTCACTCAGGTGCCACAGCGGCTCTCCTGCTGCGCGTTCGTGACCTCTCAGGTGGGCACCTTTTCAGCAATGGGCACCAACCCCACCTGTGTTTAAGAGGAAACCAGTTGTTTACCTTAAATTAGAAAAAAAAGTAAAGAAGGCCGGCGCCGCGGCTCACTAGGCTAATCCTCCACCTAGCGGCGCCGGCACACCGGGTTCTAGTCCCGGTCGGGGCGCCGGATTCTGTCTCGGTTGCTCTTCTTCCAGGCCAGCTCTCTGCTGTGGCCAGGGAGTGCAGTGGAGGATGGCCCAGGTGCTTGGGCCCTGCACCCCATGGGAGACCAGGAGAAGCACCTGGCTCCTGGCTCCTGGCTTCGGATCAGCGCGGTGCGCCGGCCGCAGTGCACTGGCCGCGGCAGCCATTGGAGGGTGAACCAACGGCAAAGGAAGACCTTTCTCTCTGTCTCTCTCTCTCACTGTCCACTCTGCCTGTCAAAAAAAAAAAAAAAAAAAAAAGTAAAGAAAGTGGGAACCAGTTGGTATTGGCCTCCCTGTCTCAGTGGCTGAATCCTTGCCTTAGCATCAGAGAAATCCAGTACAGAAGATTCCATGGCATTTCCAAATCACTTGGGAATAGCTGGGTTCCAGAAGGTTCTTTCTCTTCCCTCTCAATTTCCTGAACTTTCTAGAATATGCAGTTGTAAAAGAAGAGAGAAAGATAACCATAGAGCGAAACAAGTAAGTAAAAGTTCTTAAGTCTGAAGCTAAGTGGCCTGCTGTGAAAGTGGCATGGGAACTGCAGAAGGGCCCAGCTTCTCTCCAGGATGCTGTGTGGAGCAGAAGGCCCAGATGCTGTCCTTGTTTTCGGCGTCTCCATGAAGCTCATCCCCTCCCCCATTGCTGGGCTTCGAATGAAGCATCGGCCTGGCAGGAAACGTCTTTTTTTTAAAGATTTACTTCCAACATGATTACAGTGGCTGGGGCTGGGCCAGGTCAAAGCCAGGACCCTGGGACACCAACCTGGTCTCCCTGATGGGTGACAGAGGCCCAAGCACCTGGGCCGTCTTCCTCTGCTTTGCCAGGTGCATTAGCAGGGAGCTGGGTTGGAAGCAGAGCGGCCGGGACCCAATCCGGTGCTCACCATGCAGGTGGTGGCCTAACCCACTGTGCCACGATGCTGGCACAGTTCTTACGTGGGGTGGGGTGGGGTGAGGTCTCAGCCCAGCCAGCTAGTGCACCTTGGAAATTCTTTAGCTATCTTACTTTGGGCGTCTCTGAGGAGTGCTGAGTGTGTGTGGAGGGGTCCCTGTTTAGTGTCTGTGAGCGGGCATCACTAGGTGGGCCTTGCGAGGGAGGACCCGTCCTTTCTTCCTCCCGCCGGAATGCCCAGGTCGCCCTCAGACGTGGAGCCCTGGACCTCAGTGAGATCTGCCACGTCGTAGTCTGTCTTCATGTGAGACGCAAGAGCTGTCGTTTGCCCTTCTTCCCCCAGCAAGCGGCTAGACTACGTCAATCATGCCAGGAGGCTTGCTGAAGATGACTGGACAGGGATGGAGAGTGAGGAAGAAGACGATGACGAAATGGACGTTGACACAAGCAAGAAGCTGCCAAAACGCTATGCTAACCAGGTGAGTGGTCCGGAGTGGGTCAGACCCCGCGGCCTCGCTGCCCTGAGACGAGCGTTGCTGTCGGCAGAAGGGGCTGGGCAGGGCGTGGAAAGGAGCTGTGTGGGCGTGCTGATGGGCAGAGTGGGTGGGGCCATGCTGCTGTGGCCTGAGGGGCGGCACTGCAGGAGTCTGGGTAGCAGGCCTGGGACTGCTGGTCGTGCTGTGACCAAAGGCCACCAGTGGGCCGCAGAAAGCGCCTGAGCTGTGGCTGCAGTACCAGACTCCATGTCTTTGTCACTTTTGAGAAAAAAAATTTATTTTCATCTACTTGAAAGGCAGAGAGACAGAGAGAAAGAGAACTCTTCCATCTGCTGGTATATGCCTTAGATACCTGCAATAGCTGAGGCTGGGCCAGGCTGACCCCAGGAGCCTGGAGCTCCATCTGGGTTGCCCCTGTGGGTCCAGGGGCCCAAGTACTACGGCCATCCTCTGCTGCCCTCCCAAGTGCATTAGCAGAGAGCTGGGTTGGAATTGGAGCAGCCAGGACATTGAACCGGGGCTCCAATACAGGATGCTGATGTCACAGCCCATGTCCTAGCCTGCTACACCACAGTGCCAGCCCCCAGCTTCCTGATAAGGCCCATTAGCAGAAACAGAGCCGGGACTGAACCCTGGTACTCTGATATGGGATGCAGGCGTCTTCATTGTTGTACCAAATGCTGTCTCCCCCGCCCCCCGCCTGTTATACTCCTAGGGGACCACTGTTGTAACATGTGTGGTCTGTTGGTGGAAACACCCTTATGCCCTGCATGGCCATACTGTTAAGTCTCTGGTTTCTCATCTATAATACGAGAACAGTAATAGTACTTAGCTTTAGAATGTTGGGAGGATTAAGTGAACCAGGGTACCAGTAGGTACCTAGCCTGAGCCCATGCATGTTCCTCTAGTGTTACCTGCTGCTACTGTTTTTTTGAACAGCGGTATTGAGATATAATTCACATACTATATAAGTCACCTGTTTTCGGGGTACAGTCGGTGGTTTTATAGTGTACTCACAGAACTGTGCGTCCGTCACCACTATTTAATTTTACAACTTTCGCGTCACTGCAGAAAGAAATCCCGCGGCCACTTGCAGTCACTTCCCATTCCTCCTCCCCAGCCCTGACCGCCACGAATCCACTCTCCTGTGGATCTGGCTTTTCTGGACGCTTTCTGTAAATGGAGTCATGCAGTGTGTGTCTTTGTGTGACGCTTCTTATGCCCAGCCTAGGGTTTTCGGGCTCACGTGAGGTGTTGGGGAGGCCATGTTTCACCGCATGCAGTGTTGAGCAGGGTTCCCTCAACACTGTGCCCGTATGGTTTATCCGGTCCTCGTCCATGGACGCTGACCCTGCCTCCACGCTCTGGCTGTTAAGTGAGTACAGCTGCTGTGAGCACCACACACGGGCCTCCATGTTTGCCTTTTCTCTTGGGTCTGTACCTTGAATTTCTAGGTCATGTGCTGGCTGTTTACCTTTGGAGGACCTGCTAAGCTCGTTCCCAAAATGGCCACGCCCCTTTACATCCCCACCACAGCGTAGGAGGGCTCCCTTTCTCCACCTTCGCCAGCACTTGTCGTCCTTTTTTTTTTTTTTTTTTTTTTTTGACAGGCAGAGTGGACAGTGAGAGAGAGAGACAGAGAGAAAGGTCTTCCTTTGCTGTTGGTTCACCCTTCAATGGCCACCGCAGCCGGCGCGCTGCGGCTGGCGCACCGCGCTGATCCGATGGCAGGAGCCAGGTGCTTCTCCTGGTCTCCCATGGGGTGCAGGGCCCAAGCACTTGGGCCATCCTCCACTGCACTCCCGGGCCACAGCAGAGAGCTGGCCTGGAAAAGGGGCAACCGGGACAGAATCCGGCGCCCCGACCGGGACTAGAACCCGGTGTGCTGGCGCCGCAAGGTGGAGGATTAGCCTATTGAGCCGCAGCGCCAGCCACTTGTCATCCTTTAAGACACTCGCAGCTGTGCCACTGGGCGTGAAGTGGCGGCTCCTGGGTTTCACGTGTGTTTTCCTGGGCACCGGTGGTGCTGAGCATGTTTTCATCTGCGTGTTGGCCATCTGTATGTGATCTTTACAGAAATGTCCATTCAAATCTTTCCCCGTTTTTTCGCTGAGTTGTTTGTCTCATTATTATCAAAGGCTCACTTATTGATTTGAAAGGCTGAGAGTGACAGAGTCTGAGAAAGAGAGGAAGATTGATCGATTGATAGAATTGATTTTCTGTCTGCTGGTTGTGGGCATTTGGGGAGTGAATCAGAAAATGGAAGACCTCTCTGTCATGCTGCCTTTCAAATAATAAACATAAATAAATGAAAATGCAGTAACAAGAGTGGTTAACGGGGTTATGAGAGGCAGAGGGGGAGGCTGGGGTAGGAGGTCTGAGGCAGCAGAGGGTGGTGAGTCCATATGAGATGCACGGGGTTTAAAGTTGAGCGAGCACAAGCAGAGGGAGAGATAGCAAGTGGCTGCAGGTGGTCCAGGTGCAGAAGAGAGGCGTCTAGAGACAGACGAAGACGAGGGAGCACCCTCTGAGAGGTGGCGAGAGAGCGTGCTCGTGGGTGAGATCTGCTCCCGGGATTTATTTATCTGAGAGGCAGAGTTACAGATAAAGAGAGGGAGGGGCAGAGGGAAGGCTCTTCTGTCAGCTGGTTCACTCCCCAGACGGCCGCAACGGCCGGAGCTGGGCCCATCCGAAGCCAGGAGCCAGGAGCTTCTTCCAGGTCTCCCACGTGGGTGCAGGGGCCCAAGCACTTGGGCCATCTTCTGCTGCTTTCCCAGGCCACAGCAGAGAGCTGGATCAGAAGTAGAGCAACTGGGACTCGAACTGGCACCCATATGGGCTGCAGGTGGTGGCTTTACCTGCTACGCCACAGCACCAGCCCCTCAAATAAATAATTCTTTAAAAGGAAAAAAAAGTAACTGCTCAGCTATGTCTGGGTGACTTTTTTAAAAAAAGATTTATTTATTTATTTGAAAAAGTTATGCAGACAGAAGGAGAGACACAGAGAGAGATCTTCCATCCACTGGTTCTCTCCCAAATGGCTGCAACAACTGCTGCTGGGCCAGGCCGGAGCCAGGAGCCAGGAGCTTCCGGGTCTCCCACATGGATGACGGGCCCAGGGACTTGGGCCATCCGCCACTGCTTTCCCAGGAACAATAGCAGGGAGAGAATCGGAAGCGGAGCAGCCGGGCTGGAGCCGCTGTTCTCGGGGATGCCAGTGCTGCTGATGGTGGCTCTACCTTCTGCACCACAGCACTGGCCCCTTGAAAGTTTTTTGGTTTTGTTCTTTAGGATTTATTTATTTTAAAGTAGAAGGAGGGAGAGGCAGAGAGAGAGAGGTCTTCTGTCCACTTGTTCACTTCCCAAGTGGCCAGATTGGGCGGGGCTGTGCCAGGCCAAAGCCAGGAGCCAAGAGTTTCCTCTGTGTCTCCCAGGTGGGTAAAGGGGCCCGAGCACTTGGGCCATCTGTGCTGCTTTCCCACTCACATAAGCAGGGAGCTGGATAGGAAGTGGAACAGCCGGGACTCGAACCAGCACCTGTATGGGATGCCAGCACCTTTACCCTCCGTGCCACAGTGCTGTTCCCCTGAGCGTTATTTCACACCACATTTTCGTTCGCCTGTGGTTTGACTGTGACCTGACGCATGAGGTCAGTTGTGGAATTCTCCCCGTGTGGTGGTGTAGGTGCTTACAAAATTTCAGATTTTGGAACATTTTGGATTTCAGATTTTTGGATTAGGCATATAAGGAATAGAGAAGGTGCTAAAAAAGTATTTAAGAAGAATGTATTTATTTGGGAGAAGAGAGAGACAAAGACGGAGAGCTCCCGTCTGCTGGTTTACTCCACAGATGCCTGCAGTGGCCTGGGCTGGGCTGGGCAGGGTTTGAAGCTGAGAGCCAGGAACTCTAGCCGCGTCCCCAGGAGGGTGGCGAAGATCCAAGCACTGGAGCAGCATCCACTGCAGCCTCCCAGGGTCTGCACTGGCAGGAGGCTCGCGTCAGGAGCCAGAGTGCTGACCTGGCAGGCCCAGGCGTCCCCACGTGGGACACGGCCGACCTGGCAGACCCAGGCGTCCCCGCGTGGGACACGGCTGACCTGGCAGACCCAGGCGTCCCCACGTGGGACTCGGCCGATGTAGCTGACCTAGGCGTCCCCACGAGGGACACGGCTGACCAGCAGACCCAGGTGTCCCCACGTGGGACACGGCCGACCTAGCAGACCCAGGCGTCCCCACGTGGAACTCGGCTGATGTAGCAGACCCAGGCGTCCCCACGTGGGACACGGCCGACCTGGCAGACCCAGGCGTCCCCACGTGGGACACGGCCGACCTGGCAGACTGCTATGTCTGCCGACATAGTAGACCCAGGTGTCCCCACGTGGGACACGGCCGACATAGCAGACCCAGGCGTCCCCACGTGGGACACGGCCGACCTGGCAGACTGCTATGTCTGCCGACATAGTAGACCCAGGTGTCCCCACGTGGGACACGGCCGACATAGCAGACCCAGGTGTCCCCACGTGGGACACGGCCGACCTGGCAGACCCAGGCGTCCCCACGTGGAACTCGGCTGATGTAGCAGACCCAGGCGTCCCCACGGGGGACACGGCTGACCAGCAGACCCAGGCGTCCCCACGTGGGACACGGCCAACCTGGCAGACCCAGGCGTCCCCACGTGGGACACGGCTGACCAGCAGACCCAGGCGTCCCCACGGGGGACACGGCTGACCAGCAGATCCAGGTGTCCCCACGTGGGACACGGCCAACCTGGCAGACCCAGGCGTCCCCACGTGGGACACGGCCGACCTGGCAGACTGCTATGTCTGCCGACATAGTAGACCCAGGTGTCCCCACGTGGGACACGGCCGACATAGCAGACCCAGGTGTCCCCACGTGGGACTCGGCCGACCTGGCAGACCCAGGCATCCCCACGTGGGACTCGGCCGACTTGGAAAACGCAGGGGGTCCCCACGGGGGGACATGGCTTTCTTCACTGTTGCTCAAAAAGCCCCCCCCCCCCCCGTTTTGTTTTTGTAAGATTGCAGAGTAGCTGTCTGAAGGGAAGGAGAGGTAAGGGGTTCAAGGGAGGGAATAATTAATGGCACAGAGTGTCCTGGATGGGACGGACTGTGAGCGAAGTTAATTTCACCGCAGCACTTCCTAGCATCCTGTAGAACAGGTTCTTGGGACATCAGTTTGGAAGGTGATAGTCTAGGCTCAGAGCATCTCGTGGTCAGGAGCTTTTTTCACGTCTGGAGTGCTGCCCTGGGAGGCGACGGTGAGGATGGGGTGGGCCTTCGGCACAGTGGTCGCCTGGGATCCAGTCTCAGCTCTGCTTCCCGTCCAGCTGCCTGCTGATGCACACCCTGGGAGACAGCAGGCGCTGGCTCAGGTGCTGCCACCCACCCTGCGGCACCGGAGACCTGGGTTGATGTCCCGCTTCTCAGCATCTGTCTAGCCCAGCCCCGGTTGTTGTGAGCCTTTGGGGGGTGAATCAGCAGATGGGAGAACTCTGTCTCTGCCTTCCAAATAAGTAAGAGAATTTAAAAATTTAAAAAATTAGGATGACAGTAGAGGGTTCACAAAGTAAGGGGAGGCCGAGGGTTCTGTCGCTCTGATGGCGGAGGTGAGTTAGCAGTACGGGGAGGATGCAGGTGATGCTGGCGAGGAGAAAAGCTGAAATCCCTGGGGAGCGGTCTCGACTGCTGCAGGCACACGGGGTAGATGGCCTGCCGTCAGCGTTTCTGCCCTCACCTTTTTAGGTTTTTTTTTTTTTTTTATTGTTGTTGTTGTTGTTTTTGTAAGATTTCCTTAGTTATTTGAAAGGCAGAGTTACAGAGAGAGGATGAAATAGAGAGCCAGGATCTTCATCCAGGTCTCCCACATGGGCCATCTTCTGTCTTCCCAGGCACGTTATCGAGGAGCTAGATCAGAAGTGGATCAGGAGACCAGCCTTGTGGCATAGTGGGTAAAACCACCACCTGAAACTCCAGGATCCCATATGGGCACTGGTTCAAGACCTGGCTGCTCCACTTCTGATCCAGTTCACTGCTAATGCATCTGGGAAAGCAGCAGAAAATGGCCCAAGTTCCTGGGCCCTAGCACCCACATGGGAGACCCAGACGAAGCTCCAGGCTCCTGGCTTCGGCCTGGCACAGTCCTGGCCGTTGCAGCCATTTGGGGAGTGAACCAGAGGATGGAAGATCTCTCTCTCTGTCTTTCCCTCTCTCTTTCTCTCTCTGTAACTCTGCCTTTCAGAAAAAAAGAGAAGTGGGCTGGTGCCACGGCTCACTTGACTAATCCTCCGCCTGCAGCGCCGGCACCCCAGGTTCTAGTCCAGTTGGGGTGCCTGATTCTGTCTTGGTTGTTCCTCTTCCAGTCCAGCTCTCTGCTGTGGCCCGGGAGGGCAGTGGAGGATGGCTCAAGTGCTTGGGCCCTGCACCGCATGGGAGACCAGGAGGAAGCACCTGGCTCCTGGCTTCGGATCGGCGCAGTGCGCCAGCCGTAGCAGCCATTTGCAAGGTGAACCAATGGTAAAAGGAAGACCGTTCTCTCTGTCTCTCTCTTTCTCACTGTCTAACTCTGCCTGTCAAAAAAAAAAAAAAAAAAAAAGAGAGAGAGAGAGAGAGAGAGAAGTGGATATCCGAGACTGGAGCTGGCACCCACATGGGTGGCTGTCATCACAGGCTGCACTTAACCCACAACATCACAATGCTGGGCCCTCTTACTTTTTTTTTTTTTTTTTTTTAACCATCTATTATATTTATTTGAAAGGCAGAGTGTTGGAGAGAGATTGATTTTCCATTTGTTATTTACTCCTCAAATAGTCGCAAGGCTGGGCCTGGTCCAGGCCGAAGCCAAGAGTGCTGAATCCTGGCCCACGTGGGTGGCAGGGGCCCAGGTACTGGGTCATCCTCTGCCACCTTCTTCGGCACGTTAGTGTGTAGCTGGATCAGAAACAGAGCACACAGGGCTCGAACTTGCGCTCTGATAGGGGACGCTGGCACTGCTGGTGGCAGCCTGGCCCTGACTTTTCCGCTTGTCCTTTTACTGCAGACGTAGGCTGCGAATGCTTTGTCACGGTACACACTCGGGCAGGCACCCCTGCTGATCTTTCCCCTCATTGTCTGTGCTCCTAGTTGATGCTCTCTGAGTGGCTGATCGACGTCCCTTCAGACCTGGGGCAGGAATGGATTGTGGTCGTGTGTCCTGTTGGAAAACGAGCCCTTATCGTGGCCTCCAGGGTGAGTGGGGCGTCCCGGCCCCAGCGGGCCTGGGTGAGTGGCGGCGTCCCGGCCTCAGCAGGCCTGTGTGAGTGGCGGCGTCCCGGCCCCAGCGGGCCTGGGTGAGTGGCGGCGTCCCGGCCCCAGCGGGCCTGGGTGAGTGGGGTGTCCCGGCCCCAGCGGGCCTGGTCTTTGCCTCCGCTTCCTTTATCTGCCGCTGCAGCAGTACCCGGACCAGGCTGGAAGTGCTTTCCCGCTGCAGGGATTTGAGGAGAGCCCTTGGGGCTGGCAGCAGCCTGCTCGGGAGGAAGGGGAGGAGGGGAGAAGGCGAGGGCCCGGATGCCTGACTTTCAGTCCACACAGGGTTCCACCAGCGCCTACACCAAGAGTGGCTACTGTGTCAACAGATTCTCTTCCCTTCTGCCAGGAGGCAACAGGCAGAACTCCACAACAGCCAAAGGTACCTGCATACATCATATGTTCATTAAATTTCACTCTGTTTTGTTTCTAAGGATTATTTATTTATTTGAGAGGCAGAGTTACAGACAGAGGGAGAGAAGAGAGAGAGGTTTTCCATCCATTGCTTCCCCTCCTAAATGGCCGGAGCTGGACTGATTTGAAGCCAGAAGCCAGGAGCTTCTTCCAGGTCTCCCACACGGGTGCAGGGGCCTAAGTACTTGGGTCATCTTCCACTGCTTTCCCAGTCCATAGCAGAGAGCTGGATCAGAAGAGGAGCAGCCAGGACTTGAACCAGAGTCCATACAGAATGCCAGCGCTGAAGGCGGAGCCTTAGCCTACTATGCCACAGCGTCAGCCCCTATTCAGTAAGCTTTGTAGTCAGTAAAAGACCGTATAACAGCTGTTCTGAAGACCCACTCTGAAAGCCGACCTTTGAAACAGTACACGGACGCCGTCCTGGGGCCTGGACCCCGGGCCTCCCCACCTCTTCCTGGTCAGGCCTCCTAGTCACGGGACAGAGGCTGAGCCCCAGTAGCTGGGTTAAGGCCGCCGTGCCTTTGGACTTCCGTTAGGAGGTGACAGGTACGGTGTTTGGGGTAAGATCCTGGGAGAGTGCCAGGTGTGACAGGGCTGCCCTGCCACGTTCCCTGTCCTTCTCTTGTCCTGACCGCAGCTTCTCCCTCCCACCTGGGCCCGGCTGAGCAGACCGAGGTCAAGGAGGCCGAGTAATTTGCCCACAGTCATTCTGCCAAGAACGGGCAGAGGTGGGCCCAGGGCCTGTTTGCTTGCTCAGGCTCCGTGGCGGTTCCTCCCGGCCTCTGTCGGCTTTTACGTCCTGGCACATCCAGGCTTCGGCCCCCTGTTGTCCTGTCTCTCCCCTGCTCCTTGTGCCCACTGTCCGTTCAGCTGTCTTGGTCCTGGTGCCCCACACGTGCCTGCTTCATTCTGCCTCCAGGCCCCTGCTCATGCTGCTTCAGCACTTGGGTCTGATTGCCCTCTCTTCTTGCTGTCCCACTGTTTACTCTATTTCTATTTTTAAGATTTATTTATTTATTCAAAAGTAAGAGTGACAGAGAGCTCTTCCATGCCTGCTCCTTCACTAAATGGCTGCAATTGCAAGGACTGGGCCAGGCCAAAGCTGGGAGCTCAGAACCCATCAAGCTCTCCCATGCGGGTGGCGGGGGGGACACTGGCACTTGGACCATCTGCTGTCTTTCCAAGCATCAGCAGGGAGCTGGATCAGAAGCGGCCAGTGGGGACTCAAACCAGCTATGGGCTGGCAGCTTAACCTGTTGCACTACAGCACTGGCCCCGCCCCCTATTTTAAGTCACGCTGATCCTGCAAGGTTCTGTTTGTACCACGTCTCTCCTGGGAGGTGTTTCTTGCTGTCCCAGTCCTCTCTCTCTCTCGAAGTCCTGTTGCTCCTTGTGAGTGTTGTAGAATTCAGCTCCATTTTTTCCTCTGTGATTGGATTGTCTCTGTAACTGAAGTGGAACCTTTGAAAAAAAAAGATTTTCTATTTATTTGTTTGAAAGAGTTACAGAGAGAGAGGGAGACAAAGAGATCTTGCATTCCCTGGTTTACTCTCCATATGGCTGCAATGGCCAGGGCTGGGCCAAGCCAAAGCTGGGAGCTTCATCCAGGTCTCCCATGTAGGAAGCAGGGGCCCAAACATTTGGACCATCACCCACTGCTTTCCCAGGCCTAGCAGGGAGCTGGATTGGAAGTGGAGCAGCCAGGACTCAAACTGGCGCGCACAGCGATGCTGGTGCTGCAGGGGTGGGTTAACCTGCCCCACCACAGTGCTGGCCCTGCTTGTTACTGCTTAAAGGCAGAGCCCTGTAATACAGCGTCTGTGATTGGAACTCCAAACATTGCAGGCTCAAACTGCTTGCTTTCAGACTTGAGCTTCCGTAAGGCGAGTTAACGCCTCAGTTTAAAGTTCGGGATCCCCCTGGCTTCAGGGTTGCCTGCATCCCTGGCTGTCGCCGCACAGGGAGCAGTGCACGGGGAGCGTGCGGGGCCGTGAAGAGCTCCGCTCCTAACGTGTCCTGGTCCTGAGAGCTGGCGGTTGCTGCCAGCTCTGGGGATCGTTCCGCGCCAAGGTGGGGCTCCCTGGACCGTGACGGGGGGACGGCCTGGGAGGCAGGCCTGTGCCGACTTCCGCCCTGTGTCCCCAGATCATACCATTCTGGACTGCATTTACAGCGAGGTGAATCAGACCTACTATGTTCTGGATGTGATGTGCTGGCGGGGCCACCCTTTCTATGACTGCCAGGTAAGGTCTGACGCGCCCCCGTCTCTCCTCGTCTCCTCTCCCCCGGGAGCGCCGCCCAGCATGTGGGTTTGGAGCGTGACCAGCTTCTTGCCGTGTACAGGATGTGGTGTGTCAGGAACATTAGCTAATGCTCCCTGCTTCTTTGAGTCTAAATTAGTTCAGTTTTGAAAAAGAACCAGGAGAGCTAAGGGAAGTGCAGCAGTTCTTGAGGGGAGGAAAGAAACAGCAGAGGTGTGGGCTGGGACTGCAGCTGCAGCTGCAGCCACGCCTCGCCTCTCTCCAGTCCGGGAGGATTTTCTGGCAGGGAAGGTTAGGGGGCAGGGGCGGGGGGCACCACCGTGCCAGCGGCACCAGGGAGAGAGGACAGAGTGCCAGGCGTCATCCAGCAGACCCCTGCCGCCTCCTCTGCTTCACCACCCACCCCCTGACCTGACAGTGGCAGGGGCCTCGGTGTACCACAGACCCTCAGATCTCCAAGGCCAGCCCTGGACAGCTCTCCCTGCTAGCTACACCTCCCCCACCCCCACCCCACCCCCACACTTTCCTCATATTGGTGATTGTCATCAGCGCGAGGCTGGGTCAGCCGCAGAGGCCTCCGTCTGTCTTCGTCCCTCAGCTCCCTGTCAGCCAGGTTGTCATGGTGGTTGTTCACGTGTGGCCTCAGGTCCAGGGGCATCAGAAAAGTTTTAGAACTGCGTGCTGGCTGGCCCGGAGAACCAGGGCTTGGTGGGGCTTACGTGTGAATAGGCCTCTCAGTGCTGGTCTTGTGGGCTCACATGAGAAAGCACGGGCCCTCACCCACACTGGGTGCCCCCATCCTGCCAGGTTGGGGCATTTCAGGGAGCTGGATTGGAAGTGGAGCAGCCAGGACTCAAACTGGCGCACACAGGGATGCTGGTGCTGCGGGGGTGGTCAGCGTTCGGCAGTCGCAGTCGGGGTCTGCATCGCCAGGTCTTCGTGGGCCCTCCTTCCCCGAGTCGCTCGCGGCAGCCTCCACCTGCCAGGCCGTGCCGTTTCTCTCCTGAGCACACAGCGGCCCAGGGAGAGAGGACGGAGTGCCAGGCGCCGTCCAGCAGACCCCGCCGCCTCTGCTTCACCACCCACCCCCTGACCTGACAGTGGCAGGGGCCTCGGTGTACCACAGACCCTCAGATCTCCAAGCGCCCTGCCCACGTGCAGAGCCACGACTGTCCCCCAGAGCATAACTCCGGCCAGAGCCCCGTGCTCAGTCCTGTTGAGGGGTGCTTTGTGATGTGTGTTCACAGCGGACGAATTTGGTAGCTAACACCGTACACGTTTGTGTGACATAAGGAGAAGGCTGCATGGGCTTTTAATTTCCAAAAGCAAATTATCATAAATGATGGCAAGGCCCTAAATAACTCTAGAATGGTGTGTGTCAGAAATCCAGAGAATAAAGTGGCTCACATGAAGTTACAGCTGCAGCCTGGGTTCTGATAATCGGGGCGAGGGGAAAACAGGGGTTCACATATGTGCTTTGGAGCTGGAGAGCCATGGTCCCCAGTATTTTCTCTACACACGCAGACAAGTGACTTAACCTCTCTGAACTTCAAGGTCATCAACTGTAAAATGCAGGTGATGATGATACAACTCCCAGAGGGTGGGGGGGATTAATAAGATTATGGAAGGTGGCTTCAGAAGTTCATGGAAAATGGAAATTAAAAGGGCGGGCGGCCGGCGCCGCAGCTCACTAGGCTAATCCTCCGCCTTGCGGCGCCGGCACACCGGGTTCTAGTCCCAGTCGGGGCACCAGATTCTGTCCCGGTTGCCCCTCTTCCAGGCCAGCTCTCTGCTGTGGCCCGGGAGTGCAGTGGAGGATGGCCCAAGTGCTTGGGCCCTGCACCCCATGGGAGACCAGGAGAAGTACCTGGCTCCTGCCTTCGGTTCAGCGCGGTGCAGCCATTGGAGGGTGAACCAACGGCAAAGGAAGACCTTTCTCTCTGTCTCTCTTTCACTGTCCACTCTGCCTGTCCAAAAAAAAAAAAAGGGTGGGCACTGCGTTGCAGCCTCTGCTTGGGATGCCTGCACCCTCAGTTGGAGTGCCTGGTTCAAGTCCCACCTCTGCTTTTGATGGAGCTTCCTGCTGATGTGCCTGAGAGGCAGTAGGTGATGTCTCAAAGTACTAGGGAGACCTGGATGGAGTCTCTGGCTCCTGGCTTCAGCCTGGCCCAGAAGTGAAGCAGTAGATGGGAGATTCTCTCTCTCTCTTCCTCTCTGTCTCTCTGCCACTCTGTCTTAAATTAAACAATAGTAATAAGGGTTATTTTAGTACAGAAACCTTTGGGCACCCATGCGTGATTTAAGTAACACCCATTGCCCTTGGATCTCTGAAGCCTCCTCTGCGTGGAGCTCGACAGGGAGAAAGCTTCCGTGCTAACTGTTGGCTCCACGCTGTCAGTAATGCCCCTGGATTTAGGGACACGAGCCTCCAGGATTCTGTGGACATCGTCCTGACTCGCAGTTTTAAGGACAGCGTGGGTGATGTCGGGAGGGTGGTGGCTGTTCAGAACGGGCGGCTTCTGCTCTGCTGGTTTGGGATGAGTGGTATTTCATCCCTCTGTTTCCCTCCTCCATGACAGACTGATTTCCGGTTCTACTGGATGCATTCCAAGTTACCAGAAGAAGAAGGGCTGGACGAGAAGACCAAGCTCAACCCTGTAAGGAAGGGCTGGTGCCGGGCTGGTGGTGCTCTCCGTGGAAGTTGGTTTGGATTGGTCTGTTCACAGGATCGTCATTCAGAGTGAAGTTACCTGTTCTGAGGCAGCAAGGCACCATGGGACGGGCATTGGCCTGGGAGTCGCCTAGATCTGAACTGTGCTTTGGCCTTTAAGAATTACTGGGTTAACAGCCTTGCTTGGCCTTAGCTTCTTCATCTGCAAAATAGGGTTAATACCACCTGATTTCTAGGATTGTTTTAAGAACCAATTGACAGGGGCCGACGCCGTGGCTCACTTGGTTAATCCTCCGCCTGCGGCACTGTCATCCCATATGGGCACTGGGTTCTGGTCCGAGTTGCCCCTCTTCCAGTCCAGCTCTCTGCTGTGGCCTGGGAGGGCAGTGGAGGATGGCCCAAGTCCTTGGGCCCTGCACCCACATGGGAGACCAGGGGGAAGCACCTGGCTCCTGGCTTTGGATCGGCGTAGCTCCAGCTGTAGTGGCCATTTGGGGAATGAACCAATGGAAGGAAGACCTTTCTCTCTGTCTCTCTCTCTCACTGTCTAACTCTATCTGTCAAAAAAAAAAAAAAAAAAAGAAAAAAGAAAAAACCAACAACAACAAAAAAAAAACAAACCAATTGACAGGGGCCGGCCTGTGGCGTAGTAGGCTAAGCCTCTGCCTGCAGTGCTGGCTGGTTCATGTCCTGGCTGCTGCTTTTCTGAAGCAGCTCTCTTCTATGGCCTGAGAAAGACCTAGAAGAAGCTCCTGGCTCCTGGCTTTAGATTGGTTCAGCTCTGGCCATTGCAACAGTTTGGGACGTGAACCAGCAGATGGAAGACTTTTATCTCTCCCTATAACTCTGCCTCTCAAATAAATAAATAAAAAATCTTAAAAAAAAAAGAAAAAAGGCCGGCGCCGTGGCTCACTAGGCTAATCCTCCTCCTTGCGGCGCCGGCACATCAGGTTCTAGCCCCGGTGGGGGCGCCGGATTCTGTCCCGGTTGCCCCTCTTCCAGGCCATGCTGTGGCCAGGGAGTGCAGTGGAGGATGGCCCAAGTACTTGGGCCCTGAACCCCATGGGAGACCAGGATAAGTACCTGGCTCCTGGCTTTGGATCAGCGCGGTGTGCCGCCTGCAGCGCGCTGGCCGCAGCGGCCATTGGAGGGTGAACCAACGGCAAAGGAAGACCTTTCTGTCTCTCTCTCTCTCTCTCACTGTCCACTCTGCCTGTCATAAAATAAAAATAAATAAATAAATAAAATTTTTTTAAATCTTAAAAAAAAAAGAACCAGTTTACAGAAACACACAAGACATCCTCACATAATACTTGTGGTAGCACTCAGTGATTAATGGTCGGTATCAATGCTATTCCCTGCTTTTGATGCTGTTTCGAATTCTAGGCCACTGGGTCTTAAACTTCAGGGTGCATGAGCAGCACCTGCAGGCTTGGTGGGACAGAGACTGCTGGGCCTCACCCTGAGCTGCTAATTCAGTCTAGGCCAGGGCAAGTTCCCCAGCAGTGCCAGTGCCGCCAAGAACCCCTGTTCTCATGTGTGAGCTGGGAGTGCCCTCCTCTAGGCAGGGCCCTCGAGTCACAGGAGAGGATCCAGGCTCAGCGGGAGGCTGCCCCTGCAGGGTCCGCTGCCCAGGAGAACAGTACAGGTGTCTTGATGGTCTCCATAGCGATTTAAATACGGGACAGCGGTTTTCAGGGCATTTGCTTGGATGGTTTATAAGAATTTTTTTTTTTTAAACTTTTTTTAAAGATTCATTTATTTATTGTAAAGTTAGAGTTACAGAGAGAAGAAAGACACAGAGGGAGAGTTCTTCCACCTGCTGGTTCTCTCCCCAAATGGCTTCAACAGCCAGGGCTTATCCAGGTCAAAGCCAGGAACCAGGAGCTTCATCCAGGTCTCCCCTGTGGGTGCAGGGTCCCAAGCCCTTGGGCCATCTTCTGCTGTTTTCCCAGGCACATTAGCAGAGAGAGCTGCATCAGAAATGGAGCTGCCAGGATACAACCCAGCACCCATATGGGTTGTTGGCTCTCAGGCATTGGTTTAACCCACTATGCCACAATGCAAGCCCCACAAGAATATTTTTTTTTTAAAGATCTATTCACTTACTTTAAAGTCAGAGTTACAGAGAGGGCAAGGCAGAGGCAGAGAGAGATAGAGGTCTTCCATCTACTGGTTTACTCCCCAAGTGGCCGCAATTCCTCCTGGCCAAAGCCAGGAGCCAGGAGCTTCATCTGGTTTCCTGTGTGGGTGTAGGACCCAAGGACTTGGGCCATCATCTACTGCTTTCTCAGGTGCATTAGCAGGGAGCTGAATCGGAAGTGAAGCAGCCGGATCTCAAACCAGCGCCCATATGGGATGCCGGCTCTCCCGGCGGCTGCTTAACCCGCTACGCCACAGCACCAGCCTCCCCACAAGAAATTTTAAAGGCAGCTGGACAAGCAGTTCAGTAGGAGGCCAGAAGCCTGTGGTACTTTGAGTGATGTCATTCAGCAGGTCCTGGGGCAGCCCACGTGGAGGAGGGGACGAGGCAGCTGCTGTCTCTGGGCCGCTGTTCTGAGCACTCTGCCTGTGTCGTCTCATGGAAGCTGTGCAACAGCCCCATGCAGAAGATGCTGCTGTTGTCTGTTCTGCAGATGGGAAATGGAGACAGAGTGATGGGTAGATTGACAGGGGCCGGCACCGTGGCTCACTAGGTTAATCCTCCACCTGCGGCGCCGGCATCTCAGACCCATGCAGTCTGACTTAAGTCTGGGCCCTAATCCCGCGGTTAAACCGCTTCAGTCTAAACATCCTCACTGGTGTGATAAGGCTTCATGAGCTGGGGCAGCTGTCCCCCTGGCCTGGCAGCCGTGTCGGTCCAGCTGCGTGTTAACATCAGCATAAGAAACGCTGGGACCCACCCCAGACCCCACAGTCGGCTCTCAGCGTGTGGTCTGGTCATCGGGGATTTTTATTTTACTTATTTTTGGTCAGTAACTTAAAAAATTATTTATTTATTTTGAACAAGTTACAAAGAGAGAGGGGGAGAGACAAAGAGGTCTTCCATCCACTGCTTCACTCCCCAAATGGCCACAACGGCCAGTGCTGAACTAGGCTGAAGCTGGGAACCAGGAGCTTCATCCCGGGCTCCCACGTGGGTGGCAGGGGCCCAGGCACTTGGGCCATCTTCTGCTACTTTTCCCAGGCCGTTAGCAGGGAGCTGGCTCAGAAATGGATGGGATGATAGCCTCACAGGTAATGGCTTTACCTTCTGTGCTACAACCCTGGCTCCTATTAGTAAGTTTTTTAAAAAGCTCCCCTAGACGGTTCCTGTGCTTAAAGGAAGGTTGAGAACCACTGACCGCGTGGGTTAGAGGTTAGGGGGAGGAGGGGTAGGGGAGGGCGACACTAAAACTTCTCCTCTCTGATAGAGCTTTTTATTTGCTAGAGCAATATCACTGTGACATTAGGAATTCTTTGTTCTTACTTGTGTTTCAGTTTAAATTCGTGGGACTGAAGAATTTCCCTTGCACGCCTGAGAGCCTGTGTAAGGTGCTGTCCATGGATTTCCCTTTTGAGGTAAGGAAGCCGTGCCTTTGCTCGTGTGATGTGATGGGCGAGTGACCCAGCGATGCCGGCTCTCACGGGGACGCTGCCGCGGCTGTGGCAGCCTCGGAGGAGAGCAGGAAGCCTGCTCAGAGCCGCGCATGTGGTGGCCGCCCCTCAGAGCCCAGAGGCACAGAGGGGGAACCGAGGCGCAGAGAGGAGCTAGTGCTGCCACCCCCTCAGAGCCCGAGGTGCAGAGCGGGAACGAAGGCGCAGAGCGGAGCGAGGACTCCCATTGCTAGGTCCTTCCTGCCACGAGCTGAGAACCAGGCCCCTGCTTGAGTGCCGCGGCTGGTTGTAAAGTTACGGGGGGTCACAGGGGTCCCTGGAAGGCAGTGTGTGCTGAGCCCCGTGCGGGTTGCTGATCCTGGTGTGCCCTGGACTGTCGGGTTTCAGCTCTGGCAGCCTCATGGCCCAGATGACCCCTGCACCGTCCTTGGTACCTGCAGGCCCAACAGGCAAATTCCCCTCGGCCCGTCGTGCCCGTGCCATGCACCTGCTGGCCTCTGCCTGAACGGGTCCGCGCTTGTAAGGGGGTGTGGCTTCCCCAGTGCGGGAGTGGCGTCAGCCGCCTGCGCTCTTCTCTGCGAGTCCATTAAGAAGCTGGAGGGGCGCAGGCTTTGTTTATAACCCGAATGCCCCGGGGGCCATCAGTGCCTTGCAGAGATGAGTCACCGAATCGCAGGAAACAGAATGCGGGTCTGTGCCGGGCTTCCCGCCGAGGAGAGCTGTTTCCCAGAACACGTCTCGCACACTGCCTTCAGGGAGGTTTGAGCCGCCACGAGCCGGGGGAAGCGGGGTCTGAACTGCCCGTCTCCCGGCGCCGTCCTGGTGGCTAAGGGGGTGAAGCTGTGGGTATGAAAGTACCCCATAAGCAGGAGCGTGCCATTTGTATTTTTACTTTCTAAAATTTAGCCTCCTGAGTCATTTCTTCTCTTAGGGAAACTGCTTGTGTGAGAAGTGAGGACTGTTCCACTGGCCGTGAGCCAGTGGGCAGGGTGGCCTCTGTGTGGGTCAGCGGTGCTGGCACACGTGGCTGCGGGCGGTATTTTCATCCCTGGTCTCCCCTTTCGTAGGTAGATGGACTTCTCTTCTACCACAGGCAGACCCACTACAGCCCCGGAAGCACGCCCCTGGTGGGCTGGCTGCGCCCCTACATGGTGTCAGACGTCCTTGGAGTGGCTGTGCCGGCTGGCCCGCTGACCACCAAGCCCGAGTATGCTGGGCGGCAGCTCCAGCAGATCATTGAGCACAAGAGGAGCCAGAAGGAGGGCGTGCAGGAGGAACTCCCACACAAGGCCCCTGAGAACGGGCGCTACGAGTTGGAGCACCTGTCCACGCCCACGCTGGAGAGCCCTCCCCTTAACCCAGACGGCCCTGGGAGCCTCATGGAGAACTGAAGGCAGCCCCAGGATGGCTTCCGGCCGGGACTGCAGCAGGTGCCTTTTGGGAGACTGGGCTTCCTGAAGCCGTTCGGGTGGGAGCTGCCTGTCCCCCGTCTGAGATGCCAGCGCGGCGGGGGCGGGGAGGCCCCAAGTGAGTGTCACTGATTGTCTGCCCAGATCCGCGATGTGAATATAGGTGATTCTTCAGACCGGAGCTGTTTGAGTCTTCAGCTTTAGACAGACGTGAGTCCTCCCCACCTCCCCTCCCCGGAGGCTCCTGAACCATGACTGTTCACATCTTGGCCCGTTTCACTCCTTTTTGCACTGAAACGCCGTGCTGGGTTTCCAGTAGCTGCTGCTGCTAACGTCATTTTCTGAAAGGTCTTACCAGGAACTGCAGTTCTGGGTACTGGAGTGTGTTCCCACTTCTGAGAAGACCAGTGTGATTGTCTCTGGTTTAGACGCTACCAGAGATAAAGTGCACACGGGTTCATCCGCTCCTCTGGAGATGCGTCAGCTCCTGCAGGGCCTGACCCTGGCGCGGGGCCCCTGCAGTACACAGTGGTTCTGGAGGTGGGCAGGGCTGGGGCCCAGCCAGTGAGCTCACAGAGCGCCAGGGTGGCGAGGCGACTGCTCTGGGCAGGGGACGTGAGAGCGGCAGAGCCCGGCTGAGGCTCTGTGGGGTACACAGTGTGCTCTGCTGGCCAGGCGGCAAGGAGTCTCCCCAGGGGCAGGCCGGCTGCAGCTGTGCTTGGACACAGCCAGCTCTGGGAACTCAAGTAGGGTTCGCATAGCCCGAGTGTGAAGTAGGACAGAGAGCTGGGAGAGGAGGCTGGCGTGAGACAGGAGGCTTTGTGTCCTGGAGAGAGGGAGCCCAGGACCCTCAGATCCCTGGACGAGAGCTCCGTGGCAGCCCTGGGAGTGGAAGCGGCGTCCCAAAGTTAACCGAGCCATCTCTGCTCTGTGATCAGGAATGCGTCCCATTTCCTGTGGCCTCTGTCTGCTCCCCCACTTCTTTCCTTCCGAGACTTCTCATGCTGGGCAAAGGGAGCACATAGAGATCGGGTCTGATCTTGTCGGACGTGCAGCTGTCCCTCTGCGCCGTTAGTTCTGGGAACGGGTCTGGCAGGAGCAGTGCTTCAGAGGGCCTGATTACACCGGTTCAGCACATCCAGGGAACTGGCCCCAGCGCTGGCTCTTGGAGAGCCACGCGAGCTGACGCAGTATAATTGGAGAAGGAAGAACCCCGGCCCCCCACCCCCACCCCGCTTCCCCCATGATGATCCTGCTGGCTGCAGATTCAAGTACTCGCCTCTGTCAATTAGCGCTTTCCTAAATTTAGGTCAACTTGCAACAGCAATGTTGTGTTCCTCTCGCCAAGGAGCGCACTGTAGGCTGCCCGGACGTTGGGTGTCTGTTCGGTGATCTGAGCGCGTGAGTGTGTGCTGACAGCAGTGACGGCATCCGTTCAGAAGCCGTGTGTGCTGCTGTCGCTTGCAGCTTGGCCAGGCTCTGCTCCGAAATGATCGGGTCTGGGAGGACAGCTTTCCCAGAGGACGCTCAGCAGGGACAAATGCCTGCTGTCAGAGCAGCCTTCAGCCAAACTTGCCCCCAGGCACAGGCGGATTCTGGTGGGTGGTGATGTGAAGGACTTGTCTCGAGGAGAGCCCTGTGTGCATTTAACCCAGGAGCCAGGAAACGTTCCCTGGGGAGCACCGGGTCTCCTGGCCCCGGGGATGGCTGGTGCTGTGTCTCCTGGTCATGGCACTGGAAGTGGTGGAACCAGCCCCTGCCACGTGTTAAGTGGTGGGCCGCCCTTCTGTGGATCATCTCTTCTCACGTGGGAGGATGGGGTGAGGCGACTCTGGGGTAACTGCCCTCCCTTAGCCAAGTCTCAGGCTTCCGACTCAAGATGGCCCAACTGCATGCTCCTCACTAAGAATTTATATCTGTTTTTGGAGGAAATAGCTAATTTCCTTTGTTAAGGAAAAGATGTACTTCATTTGAAAGGCAGAGAGACAGAGAGAAAGATCTGTCTTCTACTAGTTCACTCTCCAAATGGCCACAACAGCTGAGGCTGGGCCAGGCTGAAGCCGGGAGCCAGGAGCTCCCATCTCGGTCTCCCACGTGGGTGGCAGGGGCCCACGTGTTTGAGCCACCATCTGCCGTCTCCCAGGGTGCACATCACCAGGGAGCTAGAACTGGAAGTGGGCCTTGGACCCAGATACTCGGAGAACGGGATGAGGCCAGCCCGGTGGTTTCCTAACCACCGCACAGGTGCTTTTCCCAGGGAGTTGTATCTTGAACTGAGGGTCAAAGAGGATAAATCAGTCGGAATTCATTTGCTCTGTTGGGACATGTGGGTGTGTTTACGTTTCTTGTTCCTGCTATGGAACCGTGGCATCCAATGATTCTATCAAATTGGCTCAAATTAGCCAGAGCTGCTTTCTGGGCTCGTAACCAAAGAATCCTAATTGGCACCACTGCCCAGTGCAGCCCACCCTTGCTTGCCTGGGCAGGAGGGCCAGGTGAGCATGCGTTATTGTGTCGTCCTGACTGGGTTAGGGAATACCTAGAGAACTGGTCAAGCCTCATCTCTGGGTGGCTGAGAGGTGTTCCACAGGAGGCTGGCATGTGCATAGGCGGGCTGGATGGGGACGCTGCACCCTCGATGTGGGCAGCTGGGGCCTGGGTGGAACAAAGAGGCGATTTCCTGTCTCTTACGGAGCTGGGGCATGTGAAAGTTAGGAAAATCCCACGACCACTGGACATCAGAACTGTAGGCTTTGTGATGCCAGACCTGCACCAGTGGCCTCCCCCAAGTTCTCGGGCCTCTGGCCTTGGACGGCTTGGGCTGAGAGTTACACCATTGGCTTCCCTGGTCCTGAGGCCTTGGACGTGGACTGAGCCATGTTGCCAGCTTCGCTGGGTCTCCAGCGTACAGGTAGCCTGTCATGGACGTCTCAGCCTGCATGGTGCTGTGAGCTGACCCCCCACAAGCCCTTGTCGGGTGTCTGTGCGAGTCCCCGCATCGCCTCGGTTCTGTCTTTCTTCATCCCGAGTCCCGTGGAACCCACGCGCCTATGGAAGAGCAGCCTTCCGAGGCACTGTGTGCAGAATGGGAAGCCCTCGGGTTAACGTCGGCCCGGGGAAGCCGTGTCGTGCTCCGTGCCTGCATGGAGGCGTTTACGTCTGCCTGGTCCACTGGCGTCTGACGGGGATTTATCCGCGTCGAGGAGTCTCCACCTGTGCCCCTCTCGCCGTGTCTCCACCCCTGAAATCCATCTCCGCTGCCGCCGCTGCCTGCGCTTCCATCCGAGGAACGCCGTCTCCCGTTCTCCAAACCTCAGGGCTGTCTCCCCACTTACCTCTCGGGGACTGGTGCCCCCCTGCCTTACTTCCAGCCCGGAGCTCCACACCTCTGTGTGTATCTGTCTGTCTCCCAGGCACCTCAAAGTCAGCGTGTCCCAAGCTGCCTCTTGGCCCCGTTCATCCTGGAGTCCCTGTCCCTGTTGGTGGCACCGAGTCACTCACGCTAGGACCCTAGGGACTTGGTGATGGTTCCTGTCGGTTTCTTGCCTCTCACAGCTCGTGAGTCACCAGGTCCTTGAAGCCCCACCTCGCTCCTTCACTTTTCCTAACTCGAGCCTTCATCGCTGTGCCTCCCCCTTGTTGCCCTGCCACCCTAATCCACCCTGCCGTGGTGCAGGGATCCCTCCTCGTTCCCTCGGCCTCCTGCTGCGCTGCTTCCTGGTGACCTGGAGCTGGGGGCGCTCCAGCCTCACCTGTCACTTTGCCTCCTTTGCCACCTGGCTGCTTGTCCAGTCCCGAAAGCGTCATCTCTTTTCCCGCTCGCTCGGACTGCACTTGCCTGGGAAATAGACCTCCTCGTCCTTGACAGGCCCCTCTCGAGAGACCCTGTCTGCTCCTCTTCCTCTGCGGGCAGAGAAGCCATTCTTGTCACTGTATCCCCCACACCCACGGAACCAGCTCCCAGAGTGATTCTCGTTTTGATGACCCTGATTGATTGATTGGTTTTTTTTTATGACTCTGATTTACATGTGCATCGCCCCAGTGTAGGGAAGAGTCCTCAAGACCACCCTCAGTTCTCATTCCACTTGCAGCCTGGGGAGCTCCTGAGACCGCCCTCAGGTTTGAGGATTCAGGACCCCACAGAGGAGCAGGCTGTCCCCGTGGGAGAGTCACCTTGGGAGGCCCGCATCCTGCATTCCTGGCTACTCCACTGTGATCCAGGTTCCCGCTAACGCACACCCTGGAAGGCAGCAAAGATGGCTCTGGTTCTTACAGCCTTACCACCCATGGGAGAGACCTGGAGAGAGTTCTGGGCTCTCAGCGGAGCCGTGGTAACCGACGTTCTCACTGTGGCTGTGTGCCCGCGTGGCCGGCCTCAGTCTCCAGCCCCTCCAGGAGTCTAGCTGATAACGTATGAGCCAGAGCCTTCCCCTCCCCCTCCATCGCACTGCCGGACTGCCCGATGTGGCCCCAAGACACCAACCTGGACCGTGCTGAGTGCCTGTCGTGTGGCTGAAGTCTGCAGATAAACAAAGCCACTTTATCTGGCAGGACATTCCAAGGGCCAGGGCAAAGGCCAGGCCTGTCTTTGGGAAGGTTCAATTTTTTACTCCTTCCATCCTCTATTAGACTGCAAGTGCCATGGGGTCTATGGGGTCAGGCACCTGATCTTGTTCATCTTTTTTTAAAGATGTATTTATTTGAAAGGCAGAGCTTATAGAGAGACGGAGAGACAGAAAAAATTCTTCCACCTGCTTGTTCACTCCCCAAATGACCAACAACCATAGCTGGGCCTGTCCAAAGCCAGGAGCCAGGAGCTTCTTCCAGGTCTCCCTTGTGAGTTGCAGGGGCCCAAGAACATGGGCCATCGTCCGCTGCTTTTCCAGGCAAGTTAGCTAGGAGCTGGATTGGAATTGGAGCTGCTGGGTCTCGAACCAGCGCCCATATGGGATGCTAGTGTCAGACATGGCAGCTTTACCCACTATGCCACAACGCCAGCCCCTTTTGTTCCTCTTTAGAGTCCCAGAACCTGGCGTCAGGACTGGCATTTGGTGGCATGTTGTGGCACAGTGGGTCAAGCCTCCACTTGCAATGCTGGCATCCCATATTAGAGTGCCAGTTTGAGTATCTGCTAGTCTACTTCCAATCCAGCTCCCTGCTAATGGGCCCTGGCAGGTGGCA